GTACAGGGGGCATACGTATCATATTTAAAACGAGATCAGGTGTACAGTGTTTTTTTTCCAATTTTGTATTATAATAGTAAAAAGTCAAATGATTACTTGTAAACAATATTTGCATTCTATTGTTTGGATACTTAACAACTCCCTAAAAGTGTGGAGTTGCCTGTAAAAGAACATACATTTAACACATAATTATGCATACTGCATTTGTTTTTACAGCAAATATCCATTTTCCTAATGTGTGACATGTTGATCACTTAGTACTATTTTAAAAACTTTTGCTGTAATATAAAGGTTTGTGTTAGTTATGCCACTATTGATAATACACTGCTGTTTTCTGTCTCTATTGTGTTATCTTTCTAACAATACATATAAAAACAACTGGCATATATAGAACCAAGAACGTCAACCCTGAATTGGACAGCCATCAATACGATACACATGATGATATAGACATGGACCGTGTCATTGTTTATCTCCCCTTGCACTGGGTGTGTGACAAATAAGACACTCGGAAGATGTCGTTTGGATAATTTTATCTGATAAACAGCGTACATGTATGCTTGCTATCGATTAGCTTGTTCTGTAAAGGTTGCTGTTGGAGGTAGTAGTTCGGCTTTCTTCTCTGACTAATCACAGCGCAACGGATATATATATATATATATATATATATATATATATATATATATATATATATATATATATATATATATATATATATATATATATATATATATATGCAAACATAAATATGCAAACATATATATGCAAACATATATATGCAAACATATATATGCCTATAAATGGGCATATATATGCGTTTACATATATGCCTATATATGGCCCTATATATATATATATATATATATATATATATATATATATATATATATATATATATATATATATATATATATATATATATATATATATATATATATATATATATATATATATACTAGCCGTCCCGGCCAGGCCCTGCTCTGGCTTCTGTGAAAAACCTTTCTGTTAAAGATCATTACCTGTGTGTTTAGTAATCATCATAAACCCGGCATTGCACACCCAAACCAAAACCAAAACAACAAAACGCAAACATAACGCTAACACAATTACAAATACAAACGAAAACAAAAACCTAACAACTAACCCAACCACAACCACAAACACCAATACGAACACAAAGAAAAAAACAAACGAAAAAGCAAACGAAAACAAACCAAATCCAAATGCAAAACCAACCACAAACCCAAAGAAAAAAACACAAACGAAAAAACAAACGAAAACAAATCAAATACAAACGCAAAACCAACCACAAACACAAATACAAACACAAACGCAAAGAAAATAAAACACAAACGAAAACGAAAAAAGAAAGAACAAAAACGCACCATGACGTCACCGCCTGATTGAACTTAGTAAACGACTATAGTACATAACTTATTCATAGTGTTTTGAACTCACGCGAACGTATATACCATAGCGTACACCGGAAGGCCCGGGGCGCCAAATAGCACCCTGTCGGGGTGCCGGAGGACGCCCGGATTTGATTCACTTAAAGACTATAGTAACCTTTCTTACCCATAGTCTATCGCACTGTTAAAAACAAAATTATGCAGCATAGCGCTCACATGATAGCCCAGGGTGCCAAATCGAACCGTGCAAGGGCGCCGGCGGACGCGCCTGTTTCAATTTAGTGAACAAAAATGATAATACTCCAAGCTTATCCGTAAATGGAAAGAAATAAACATATAGGATTTGTAGGACCTGGCTTATTAAATGTTATTGATTTAAAAAAAAATATTGAACAGTATGTTCAGTGTATAGAATAAATAAAAGGCAGTGTTAAAAATACCTAACGACATTGCACTTAATCAATCCCCGCTAATTATGTAATTTTTTTTTTTCTTAACACCAAAAACAAAGTAATAAAATGTAAATTCTTTCTTCTTAAGAATTTTTTTTTTATTAAAGGGAAGTAACTGTGCAGTCAATACATTTCCGACACAATTTTAGAAATTTTATAAACGTCGATACACTTTTTAAAAATTTTATGTCGCGTTCATAATTGAAAATTATTCTTCTAAGTAAATAGAATGAAAATTGTTTTTAAAGACTTTCAATGGTAATTTTTTGACTCGTAAATTTAGACTATGAGCACAATAAAAAATCTAACACTTAAATCCATAGAAGTGTCAACGACAAACTTTTTTGCCACACGTTACAGAACTGAGCTTTATATATTAGATATATATATATACTAGCCGTCCCGGCCAGGCCCTGCTCTGGCTTCTGTGAAAAAACTTTCTGTTAAAGACCATTACCTGTGTGTTTAGTAATCATCATAAACCCGGCATTGCACACCCAAACCAAAACCAAAACAACAAAACGCAAACATAACGCTAACACAATTACAAATACAAACGAAAACAAAAACCTAACAACTAACCCAACCACAACCACAAACACCAATACGAACACAAAGAAAAAAACAAACGAAAAAGCAAACGAAAACAAACCAAATCCAAATGCAAAACCAACCACAAACCCAAAGAAAAAAACACAAACGAAAAAACAAACGAAAACAAACCAAATACAAACGCAAAACCAACCACAAACACAAATACAAACACAAACGCAAAGAAAATAAAACACAAACGAAAACGAAAAAAGAACGAACAAAAACGAACCAAATCAAAACGCAACCACTAACGCAAACCCAACCTAAACACAAAGAAAACACTAACGCGAACATGAACGCACAGTGCTCAGAGTCTAGCCCGGGGCGGAATCGCCTGTTTCAGCTTAATAAACGACTATAGTACCCCAACTTATTCATAGTCTTTTGCACTCACTTTAATGAACGTAGGCGCGAAACCGAACACGGGAGGCCCGGGACCCCAAATAGCACCCTGTCTGGGCGCCAGAGGACGCACCATGACGTCACCGCCTGATTGAACTTAGTAAATGACTATAGTACATAACTTATTCATAGTCTTTTGAACTCACGCGAACGTAGATACCATAGCGTACACCGGAAGGCCCGGGGCGCCAAATAGCACCCTGTCGGGGTGCCGGAGGACGCCCGGATTTGATTCACTTAAAGACTATAGTAACCTTTCGTACCCATAGTCTATCGCACTGTTAAAAACAAAACTATGCAGCATAGCGCTCACATGATAGCCCAGGGTGCCAAATCGAACCGTGCAAGGGCGCCGGCGGACGCGCCTGTTTCAATTTAGTGAACAAAAACGATAATACTCCAAGCTTATCCGTAAATGGAAAGAAATAAACATATAGGATTTGTAGGACCTGGCTTATTAAATGTTATTGATTTAAAAAAAAATATTGAACAGTATGTTCAGTGTATAGAATAAATAAAAGGCAGTGTTAAAAATACCTAACGACATTGCACTTAATCAATCCCCGCTAATTATGTAATTATTTTTTTTTCTTAAGGGGTCATCCATAAATGACGTCACGCTTTTTTTGACGATTTTTACCTCCCCCCTCCCCTCCGTCACACGTCGTCACAAAAAGCCAGACCCCCCCCCTAAAATGACGTCACACCTCAACCTACAACCCCCCTCAAAATTGCAGTTGAATTTTTTTTTAAACATCGATATTTTTCCAAAATCTTGTCTAAACTTTTACAATTTATTAAAACAGTTATCTAAATCGCGAAATAACGTCTAAAATTCGTTTTCTAACATTGCTTTTTTATAATGCAAAAATGTGACGTCGCAACATCTGACCCCCCCTCCCCCTCATCACACATCGTCACAAAATTACGGACCCCCCCTCCCCCCTACGAGTGTGACGTCATTTATGGATGACCCCTAACACCAAAAACAAAGTAATAAAATGTAAATTCTTTCTTCTTAAGAATTTTTTTTATTAAATGGAAGTAACTGTGCAGTCAATACATTTCCGACACAATTTTAGAAATTTTATAAACGTCGATACACTTTTTAAAAATTTTATGTCGCGTTGATAATTGAAAATTATTCTTCTAAGTAAATAGAATGAAAATTGTTTTTAAAGACTTTCAATGGTAATTTTTTGACTCGTAAATTTAGACTGTGAGCACGATAAAAAATCTAACACTTAAATCCATAGAACTGTCAACGACAAACTTTTTTGCGACACGTTACAGAACTGAGCTTTATATATTAGATATATATATATATATATATATATATATATATATATATATATATATATATATATATATATATATATATATATATATATATATATATATGCTACCTTCATTACCATCATCTTCGCCGATCTCATCATTAAAACTGTAACGTTTTATGAACATCGCAGGCTGTACTTAAAAACTACGCCATATTTTCCCCATTATTATGCTATATTGTACCACGCCGTTGTCATTTTCTGAACACTACCTCTAATCCTGTTGCTTGATGCATTAGGTCAGCTGTACTACTTGACTCCCGCCGTCATTGATGTTATACTGTAGTTTATCATAATACTATACCATTCTATGTATAGATAAAGGGTACAGAAACCCGGCTAATTCAACACCTAGTGTCATAACGATTCATGTAAACAAAACCCAAACACAACGAGCTGACATTCACGATAGACCGTTTTTAATATACGATTTTATTTTTAACTTTTCTGCACCATGTTAACCCTTGTCACTTTTTGCTCTCTTCATCAACTTCAAAACATAATTAGCTTCATTTAAAAACTTCAGGTCGCGTGCTATAGGCGTGTTAACAAAATGCTTCGTTGATCCCAGATTAAGAACCCTTGTCTCGTAATGCTAGTCTTTTGTTAACGAGGTATACGGCTCGTGTTATTAATCCTACGAACTGGATATGGCAGCGGGATAGAAATAGGTGGACATTGTTGTCTAGTGTTTTGGTGCAGTGGGGGATAAAGGGGAGGGCGGTGCTACGTGGCTTGTTTCGTTCGTCGTCATTACTCTCTGTTGAACTGGGTTCTTATTTGTTTCATTCTTTCTGTTTCTACAGGTCAACTCGAGGCACGTGCATTGGATATAAACTCCAGGCAGTTCAAGTTGACAACAGGTGAGTGTCCACTCTTTGGAGTTCAATTTATAAACTGATTTCTTTCTTTGACGTTAATCCATTGCTCGATTTGGAGTTCAATTTATAAACTGATTTCTTTCTTAGACTTTAATCCATTGTCCGAAAGCTAAGTTTAATCTCGGTGTGGATATTATATATACGTATGCATTTATATGATGTATGCATATATATGATGTATGTAAATGTATATTTATATATACAATATATAGATTCTATGCTGTATATATGTATGATGTATATATATATATATATATATATATATATATGTGTGTGTGTGTGTGTGTGTATTTCTGTGTATTTTTATTCTAATTCAATCTATTTATATTCTTGACATCTGTCTGTGTTAAAAGTCCCAAGAGAAACTAATCTTTTCAAAGCTAGAGATGGATTGTTGGAGATTTTCTTTAGCCTCTGCATTCATTCAAATCCTCTTCATTTAAATTCCCTATCCTTTAGACGTGGGTGTTGCCACGTGTATGCCTGGCGAATCTGCTATTGTTGTAGCATTAATTTCAGCTTAGGTTGCACGACAGACTAAAATTGAGCACATATGTTTCGAAAATAGCATTATTTACTTCAATGTTTTAGCGATATAACATGTGGCATTTGTACTAACGCGTGTTTTGATTCGTACTCTTGGCATGTTCTTTGTTTCATAGACTGTGTTCTTACGGATTATCTAAGGCGCTGGTATTTCTTGTAGACTAATCATTCTCAATTTTTGTCTGTTTCATTATCGTTTTCCCCCACTCGCGCCCTAGCTACATTGATCAGATCAAGTAGAGTTCATCTGTTTCAATGACCTCGATTTTGTGGTCAGCATTATGTCCCGCCACCGAGGTCACCTTAACGTGAATCAGGTACCCATCAGCTAGGTGATGTACTTAGGGACGTCCTACAGACTATAGCTCCTGTTAGCAAACATGAGCTCTATCATCCGACCAAATTGTTTATGTATGGGTTTTGAGTATATTTTCGTAATTATGGCAACTTCAGGTAATCTCATCTATATACTACTAAAAGTCAAGTTTGTTTACATGTTTGAATATTTATTTGTTTGTTTTTTTGTTTGTTTTTTTGTTTGCCTGATTGACTATTGCTCATGGTTGCACTCATCGTGGAAAGCTGTAAAATAGTATGTAGGTAGAGAAAAATTTTTGTTTTAAGACAGACTGTTAATCACAAATTTATTTAAAGACGTTAATTAATTTATTGATTTATTCATACGCAGAGTAACCCATTTTTTTTAAAAAGATTAAAACGACCACTACACTTGGCGGGACCGTGACGTCACAGGTTTTTGTTTACTCTTTAGTAGAATAAAATGGCGGCGTCTATCGAAGAAAATTGTGTTCCCATTCACAAGTTTAACGCGTTCTAAATCTAATTTTCTGTCGGTCATAACTTTAACAATACGTCCGTTTGCTGTATTTATTACGTTCCAACACTTATATCAATTTTCAACTGTCTTTTTCATTTAGTTTTACAATAAATTTCTCTAGATCTAAAGATCAGCTGTCGAAGGAAAGTTATTAAGTTATGAATCTAGAATCTAGCCTAGGGCCTAGATCTAGATCTAGGTCACTAGACTCAATGTAAATTCTAGATCTAGACTTAATGTAAATTCTACATCTAGAATCTATTTCGGGCCTTAATTATTTTATATAAATCTTTGTTTAGCTTCAATGATCATCTAATTCGAGAATACATGGGATTTTTTTGTTATCTAGGTTCTATATCTAGATATAGTAGGATTACTCACTAACTTGGAGGCGTGGTCGGCTGCTAACAACAATATGGCGTACGGACCGGACGCATGTCTGCCGACCATTTTTAGGCCATGTTTACCACGAGCAAAATGGCGGGTGTTCACATTATTTAAACATGGTATAGGTGGCCAGGGCTAGATATGCCAGAAAAGCATTTTAAAATTTGCTTTGGAGAATGAAGGCTAAATTTTAAAGTCAGTGTCATAAACATTAATAGAACTTTTTTTTTTTTTACGTTTTCAATTATTTTTTCTTAAGCCCTATATGTGAATGATAAGGTTGACTATCAGGACCTCGCGGGGCACAGGGCAGGTGAAGTAGGGTTCATCTGTTTCTTTGTCCTAAGCAAATGAAGGGATAGTGTGGTCAGAGACATGCTCGGCTGGAATCGTTTTTGTTGTCTGAGACTTGGCGGGACACTGGGCAGGTGAAGTAGAGTTTAGTAGGTCACCTGTGACGTCAGTATATGAAGGGATAGTCCGAAATCGTTGTTTTCGGTGTTTTTAAAAGATAAAAAAACATATTTTTGAATGTGGGGTCTGTTTTTTGTGACGATAAGTGACACTGCAGTAGCGTAGCGAGGAGGGGGGGGGGGCGGGAGGGGAGGGGAGTCGGGGGGGGGGGGGAAGGGGGGCGGGGGGGGGGGGGACATGTTGGGGCGGCAAAATGGTTTGGAAAAATAAATTGAAAGGTTGAGGGGGGTTCAAATGGAAAGTTTGAGTGGGGGGGGGGGGGGGGTTGAAAATCGAAATCTTGGGGGGGGGGGGGGGGGTTCAAATCGAAAAGTTTGTCCCCGGGCGCCGGGAAGGGTCGCTATGCCTCTGAGTGACAGACGTGATGTTTTTTGATGGATGACCCCCGAAGCCCACAGTTATCCAACGGATGACGGGTAGTCTAGTTTGTACTGAAAGTCGCCAGTGCTCGCCACGATTCCTGCGCTGAATAGTTTCTTGTATTACTATAAGAGTTTGGCAAACTTGAGGTTGTATTGATTTATACCATGGGCTGTGGTTTTTATGCTTTGTCGTATATTTTTTATTAGTGTCCCTTTCCTGGGTTTTATAGGCAAGAAAGTGGGTGCGTTACTATCAGTGTGTCTGTTTATTTGAGGAAGAGTATTCCCCAAGGTGGTAGAGCACTCGAATGCTAACCTGAAAGTTTCGTGTTGGGGTCCCGGGTACGAGTCCATAAGACTTCTCAGAGTCCACCCAGCTGTGATGGGTACCTGACTTACATAAAGGCAAGTAAAGACGACTGGGCACGGTGTTGAACATACTATGCTTTTATGCCAAAGTCAGTAAACACATGACCTCTGCTTAACCTGCCCCTGTCAGATCCAAAATGGTACTTTGCTGTATTGGTTGTTGACACGCTGCATGTCTTCATAGAAACTACCATAGGGTTTTCACTGTTACACATTAAGGAAAGCATGTTCCCATTTAAACTTAACCATCCATTTGGTAGGTAAGTAGGGTTCATGTTTCTTGACCTCGGCATATGAAGGGATGGTGTTGTCAGCTCTATGCCTAGCCGTCTTTATGCTAACAAAATATTAATTAGCAATATATATATGCTAGCAATATATTAATATAATATATTTTCAAAACTGATGCCACTACTTTTAAAGATATCCTCTGTTCTAGCACCAAAGGCTTTGATCTTTACACTACTTTAATATACTCTAGCTCCAAATATAACAAACATGACCTCTTTTACTCGACTATCTTCTTTAGATTTTTCAATCACGGGAAGCTTTTAAGTAAAAAGAACCACATCTCGCTGTAATTTGCCGTGTTTCTTTTCCCCCAAGTTTTGATGTTAATTTACTTTTTTAATAAAAACGCCTCGATAATTGAATGTTTATTTTTAGATCCATCCCAGATTATCTAGAAATAGGCGTCTGTTGATGGAGGCCGATAACAGACTAAACTGTTTACAGCTTGTTAGCTTGTTTATGAATATATTTTACTTAAGGTTGCTTTAATGGCAACTCCAGGACAGGAAGACAGACATTTGTTGTTTTGTTTCTGTGATTGACTTCATCATCGTCTAGCGTTTAGATCTTGAGTGATTCTCCAGAGCTTGATATCAGTACTATTATTATTCATAAATAGAACGACCGTTTTTTTTTTAAATTTATGATTTTCATTGATTTAAAGCTGTCATTAACTCGCCTCACAGCTTCCCTAGTTAGCTCATCTTTCTGTCTGTTAAATATCGATCTCATTTAGTGACTTCTTAATACTACTGTTTCATTTCATCAAAGTAACCGATCTCCATGTCTTCCATAGTACTTCATCTCTCTGTCTTATAGCAGTCTATCAAATACCCATAACCGTCTACCAAATACCCCAAACGGTCTACCAAATATCCCTAACAGTTTTCTCAATACCATTAGTAGTCTGGAAAATACCCCTGACCATCTACCCTTTAGCCATCGCGGTCTACCCAGTACCCCAATGAAAATCTACCCAGTACCCCAATGAAAATCTACCCAGTACCCCGCTGAAACTCTACCAGTACCCCACTGTAAATCTACCCAGTACCCCAATGAAAATCTACCCAGTACCCCGCTGAAACTTTACCAGTACCCCACTGTAAATCTACCCAGTATAGTCGTCCCATAACCCCAATATTCCAAGATGTTTCCATGTTGCACACCCACCCACCTCCACCACTATCGACATAAAATTGTAAGGCTCACATTACTTTTAACCGGCTAGAATTTTCGCGTTTCCTGCGATTTTTGTTTCCACGCTTGTCGATTTTTATCTCCGCGTCAACCCCTACCACCAGGGTCCTCATTCACCCAACAATAACGTGGGGCAGGGAAATGTAAAAATGTGGCGTGAAGCGTGAGACCGTTATGTGTGTGAGTGTGGGGGGGGGGGGGGGGGGGGGGCGTGTGAACCAATTTGAGATCGCTGCGAGGGGAGGAATTATTGAACAAGGCCGGGAGAGAATCCTTCCACTTGGGATGTAACGGGGAGATAATCGATGATGTGATTTCTGGCGTTTATTGTCTTTATCAAAGGGGGTGTGTTTTTACGGCTGGGCACCCCCTGATCAATCTGAGCCCCGTACGCTGTGGTTTTAGAAAAGACAATTTGAGTGTTGGATACTAGGGACAAGTTCATTGCTTTTTTGTACCCACATTCGTGCATTGAACATTTTATTTTTTTCAATTATAGACACATCTTCCACTTCTCT